ATGATGCTGCTTGGCCTGCTGTGTTCATCCAGCCCTGCACCTTGTTGACTCTAAATCTGTCCACCACTGAGTATGTGGGAACAAGAAACCCACCAGCATGTCAAGTCACAAGGAATGCTAATGGAACAGAACATGCACCTAATTTGACTCACCACTTTCATTTTTGCTATCTCATTTTAGAAGGCCATCACCTAAAGGACCCCTTCCCTGTACATGAAACACTTCAACAAAATATGAAAATATTTTAACGGTATAGAACTATGAATAAAATATTTCTAATTCATCTGAAACACCCGTTACTTGACATTTTCTGTTTCTAATGGTCTGGGCGTTGGTAGTTCCTACAGGTTTTCACTGTTCAACAAGATATTACAGGAACATAAGGACGGTTCAACTCCTAACAGGAAAAAAAGACGCATTTTACAACTGTTCACCTTTTCAGGTCATTTTACTGCAACCGATTTTTATCATGTAGACTTGCACACGAGATGGATAAATATAAAGACGAGCTTTGAAAATACTGCAATATGCAATTTTCAAAAATATACACATTTAGCGTATCTGTATTTCCCATATTAGGATAATCATTAACAGTTAAAGGTAGCGTGATATTAAAAAAAACTGCGTTTATCCTGCACAGAGCCAGGGAAAAGCTGATCACCTGGAATCCGCTGCGTTGAAACCGCAACGTTTTAATGTAGCAAATATTTCCAGTAAAAATACTAATCCAAGCCAATCAGCCGCATTTGATAGCTTTTCATTTGAACATCTGAAATGGAAGACGGAACACCTCTTGAAATAAATCAAAAATTGAGGTTATTACCTACATTCTTCAGAGGTCAATTAACATGAGCCAGACTGCGAACATTACCTTTAAGACGCGCACTCCCCTCCCTGCAACCGCCGAGCTCGAGCCGCATCCGGGGCCAGGCTTCGGCTGTGGAGAGAGCGGTTCTACCGTCAGAGCGGCGACGGGGCCCGGGCTGCTGCCTTCGCCCAGCAACCCCGCTGCACATGGAATCCGCTTCCCCATCTCCATCTCCATCTCCATCACCGGCGATGTTACCTCAGCCATTGTGGTTACACCCACATCGAGACCAAAATAATTGTCAGAAAGAACAGAAATGTCGAGCGATCGAAAGGGGCAACGCTTGCAGTTTGAACCCTCCGCACTCAGTGCTCTCGCGTCGCCATGATGACAGCGCTCGCTCTGTCGGAGAAAGGCCGCCGCCGCCACCACGCTCCAGCGGGGGTATGTGCTCATCTGCATATTCATACATTATTCATAAGACTGTGCGTCATTTACATAGTAACGATTGGTATTATCCAAGAAATAGGCCAACTGCGTCACCCATTCTACAAGCCCACAATGGTAGGCTCTTATGGCATAATGTTAATGTCCCTACCTCTGAAACAGGAGGTCCGGGTTCAAGTCCTCGCTGCTCCAGAGATGCATCGTAACATCCCATCTCCTTTGAGTAACAAATTATCTATCATGCCTTGAACTTAGAAATACAAAATCTTGGGGACTGCAGTGGAAACGTTCCTACATCTGAACCAGAAGGCCTGGATTCAAATACCACTGCTCCAGTGGTCTATCATAAAACATCCCAACAGGTTGACTAAAATTACAAAATTTACAGGAACAGGATAATAACTATCTATATTCAGTTTATTACGGTGTTATTCAAATATACAATCCAGGTAAACAGACTCTTGCTAAAGGAAACCTCTGTTAGAAGTATACTAGAAACTTTCGTCTCCAGTGTTGAATAGTAAACTGTGTTTTAAATATGAAACAATTTTTTGCGAACTGGTTTTCAGATGTCAATTGTCACAATTCCACTAACATCAGAAACCTTTCTGAAGAAGGGTCCAGACCCGAAACATCAGCTTTCCTGCTCCTCTGATGCTGCCTGGCCTGTTGTGTTCATCTAGCTCTACACCTTGTTATCTCATTAAACAAGGAACGTGGTTTTTCTGCTGGTTGTAACAATTAACAGTCAATTATACCAACACTCCCAGCCTTCAAATTTGTTTGCTCATTTATTTACTATCAACACTAACAGCATTTCAGCTAGCCTTGGATTTTGCAGTAATGATGACAACAAACCTGTCATCACTCCATTGAAACTGACAGCAGCTTTCCTAGAGTCCACATATGTTTATAGCTAAGTTTTGCTGTTTAAGATCAAGCCTGAAGTGCAGTTCACAGCACATGGGTGGAGTGATTCTTGCTGTAAGGCTGTGCAAGTTTTCTTGTTGTAACTTGCCAAAGTCACTGCTTTCACGCACGGTGAATATCACATCCTATTTCTGCCTCACCTTATCTTACCAGGCACTGTTCCCAAAGAACATACTACTCAGCAGGGGTCCTCCGTATGACCAGCATCCCCTGGACCTGTGTCATCTTTCAAAGCACACTGTATCTGCAGAAGTGCTAACATCAATAACTCGTGCTGCCTGGCCGTGTTAGGTAGCAGGAGAGATAGCGGAGAAGAGGAAACTAGCACTATACTTCTGGTAAAGGTCCTTGAAGTCCTTGTGGATGATATTGTGGAGAGGAGGGGAGTCAGAGATCGCCACCTGGATCGGTGCCATCTCCAGGGTGAGGAAGGAGGTCAGTGGTCTTCTTGGTTTCACCAGAGTACGTACAATATTCTGCTGTGGCACAGATAAAAGTGTGAGGTAGCAGACAGCATCCACCTCCCACCAATGGTTATCATCTGACACCCACTCTCGTGCATGAAACACTTCCCTCACTCATTCTCTATACCCCCTCTCACTCCACTTACACTTTCTTCGTCATACTCTCAGACCACTTCAACACCTGCACCCCACGTCCACCAACACTAATGGACATGCCATCCACTGGTGTCTTACTCATTTATCCCCTTTACATAATTACAGGAGAAGACATCCTGTAACAGGACAGGGAGTGATGCCACACAGGTGGTGCTGTTCTCACTGTCTCCAAGGAAAGGATTCTTCCCTGGAAGGAGAAAACAGGGACCGGTCCAGCAGGGAAGAGACATCCATGTCCTGACACCCAGTTAGTAACACTTGGTCATTTCACTTGTATTAAGAAAGTACTGAACACCACTACTAGCCAGTGGCTGTAATGTCCTCTGCCCTTTATGTCTTTCAGGTGGATCCATTCTCCCAAGAGGAGAGTTCCTTGATCCCTCCTGCCATTATCATAGAGAACAATTGGAGGAACCATCATTTGCATGGGTGCACCTGTACTGAGTCACCTCCATAGACATCAGATTGGCCTTCTTGAAAATGAACCCACAAATAGTGATGGGCCTGGATGGCGTCCTGAGCTGTGCACTTAGATCCTGTGTGTAGCAGCTGGCAGGGGTATTCGCAGGTGTCTTTAACCTCTCCTTACTCCAATCGGAGGTTCCCACCTGCTTCAAGACGACCACAGTCATCCGTGCCAAAGAAAAATCATGCAGTATGCCTCAGTGACCTCTACCTCGATGGCTTTGGCATTCATTATGAATTGCTTAGAGAGGTTAGTCATGGCTCACATCAGTTTCCCAGGCTGCTTTGATCCTCGACATTTTACCTACTGTCACAACAGGTCCACAGCAGATGCCATCTCCCTGACCCTACACTCATCCCTGGAACATCTCAATAACAAGGACACCATGTCAGATTCCTACTTATTGATTATAGCTCCACCTTCAACACAATTCCAACCAAACTCAGACCTAGGATTCTGCTCTCCCCTTTGCAACTGGATCCTTGAGTTCCTGACCCACAGACCGCAATTAGGATATGCGGCAAAACCTCCTCCACAATAAACCTCAACAATAGTGCCCTGCAAGGCTACGTACTCAAACTCCTACTTTACTTCTTGTACACAACTGCGGGGCCAAACTTTGCTTTAGCCCATTTACAAGTTTGTTGATGACACCACCATAGTGGGTAGGAACTTAATGACAAAACAATATAGGAAAGAGATAGACAACAATCTCTCTCTCAATGTCAGCAAAATGAAGTAGCTGGTCATCAACTTCAGGAAACAGAGTGGAGGACACGCTGTCTGGTTGGTGGTGTGGAGGAGGTGGTCGAGAACTTTAATTTCCCTGGAGCGATGATCACCAACAATCTTTCCTGGTCCGTCCATCCATCTTAACACTACACTTAGGAAAGCACACCAATGCCTCTACTTCATTAGAAGTAGAAGCATGTTCACAACGACTCTTACCAATTTTTATACATGCACCATTAAAAAGCATCTTATGCAGATGCATTATAGCTTGGTATGGCAACTGCTCTTCCCAAAGCTGCAACAAATTACAGAGAGTTGTGGATGCAGACAAGTCCATCACGTGAACCAGATGCAATTCATTGACTCAGTCTGTACTTCCCACTGCCTCAGGAAAGCAGCCAACATAATTAAAGACCCCTCCCAGCCTGGTCATACTTTCTTCCACCCTTGTCTGTCAGGTAAAAAATACAAAAGTTTGAAAACATGTACCAGATTCAAGAACAGCTTCTTCCTTGCTATTATCAGACGTTTAAACTGACTTCTCATTATTGAATTTGACCTTTCTCTGCACCTTCTCTTTGACTGCAAAGTTGAAACAGAGGTGACAAACAATCTGCTCAAAGCCAATAGAGTAAACAGCTTGAGAGGCCTGATGGCTTTTTTTTTTGAAGTTGAAACAATAAAACCTGCTTGAATGAGTGAGTCAATCTCAGAACCAGGAATTTTAGTTTTAGTAGCTAATGTGTCTATTATTTTGCTGAGCATTTCAATACAGTTACAGTTAAACAGATTCTTCTCATTTTTATTTTGTCTGTATTTTAACAGTAGTGTAAAAATAAAACGTTTTGCTTAATGGTGAGTAGTTTGGCCAATTGAATTACATCTGGAATGCAATGACTTATGCTTGCCTTTAAAATCATCTTAATAGATTGAGGGGGGCTTTGGTCTGGTCCATAACAAGTTTCCCATCATATCACAATGGAGCATTTTCTTAGTCCCCATTAGAGGAGTTTTTCAGCCCATCATATCACAGTCAATTATCAGAGGTTGGTGTGCATGCAGTTGTTGGGTAAGAAAGTTTTCTTTTTGTACAAATCTAATTTAGTTTGTAGTTGCATTAAACTAAAAACTACAGTTTAAATTTTGTAGTTGCCAGCTTTAAGCAGGTTTTTCCAAGGTTTCCCGTGAAAGAGCAGTTTAATTGAGAACCAGCTAAAATAACATGGCAGGATCATTGTATCTGTCTCCATTTACACTCTTACCCGTGTTTTCACTAGTGAATTCCTTCTGCCTGAACCTTGACAAGCTAGAAACTGAACTGTTGTATCGTTTGGTCTCAGTCTTTCCATTATGTAACTAACATGTGACAGCTAAAAAAGTGCAATGAGTTATACAAAATCAAAGAAAACAGGGTTTAGAAAATACCACATACCTTTTGATTGGGTTCAAAATTTATTTGCCCACTCAGTCAACCATCTATCCAATTCTCCCTTCACGATTTTCTCTAATTGCCAGCTCTTCACAAATTCATTCTACACATTCACTAAACAACCTGCATGCCTTCCTTAACTTTAGACATGCCTCAATTATAAAATGCATGGCAACCTCTAACACATTACCAGGTTCAACTTATTTCCTGAATAGTTTCTGTTCACAACATGTACCAATGATTTTGCAGCATATTCAATTAAATTTATTTTAGATTGTGTTGTGCAGACATTGGAGGGCAATAATATGACATTATCTCAGAACGGCAAACACCTACTCTCAATTCATGATCTTATACATTTGAATTATTTTTAAGACTCTAGTATCACATGCCATTTAGCATAGCAACCATGAATATTCACTGTTGGTAACTATGCTTTCTCAGTTATTACTATTGAAATTGTCGTGATACAACTTTCCACTGAAACAATTAATTAACACTTTGAAAACCTTTTATTGCTTCTGTGTCTATTTACTTCTTCATCTCTTCAAGTGTAGGTCCATGCTCAGTACAGTGAACTCCTCCTTGAACCTCAGTATATAAAATCTAACTGACAGCAATTAAGGGAGGAAACTGAAAATATATCCTCTCAAACCACTGTTTTTTCAAAAAACTCAATTTTTTTTTGGAGTCAAAACACTGGAATGTTTATCAGTTTTTCATTTCTAAACACATCTAGTACATTTCCAAAGGTTAAGACATTTGCTGCTGTTGAGGGTCACAATGGGAACTGAAATTATAGAATCATACACTAGAGGCCTTTGTGCCTGACGAGCCTATAGAACATGGAACTTGCGATTAGTCAAATCCAATTCTGTTGGAGCACATTCTGCTGGTCCTTTGACCAATACTTACACTCTTACTTACCCTGATTTATTCAGGGCTGCTCCAAGCTGATGTAAAGCCTGTTCTAGGGCCTTAGCCTTCATTAGTGGAAATTTCAGAACAACCCTGTTCCGCTCTCCCCTTGCCCCAAGCACTGCATCCAAACTCTGCTCCATACTACACCCAACTCTCCCACGTGTCCAAATGCCCAGAGGTACAGGGTAGAAGCACAGAGGAGCAGCACAAATATGAAATCTTGTTAATGTTACATGTACGGTATTACATGTAGTAACTGAATTGAATGCTGAGGTCACTTTCATGATCACATCACATAGTATGTGTATTACTCTTGCAGGCTATACAACTATCTTGTCCTCACCAAAAGTCTTATCATCATTTGGTTTTTAAAAGTTCTGAATGTTCAGTCACAGAGAGAAGTGCTCTCTGTGAAATATGTAGAACAAAGATGGTTAATGGCCCTGAGAGGACATGAAATTTCATTCGTCACCTGAAAAGCCATCCTTTAACATTTTTATTTCACAGTTGAAATTTCTACATGAATATTATATGCAAAGCATAACATTCAGATTTATGGTTCTAAATGATTTCATATTATATTAACTGCAAGATTGTCATTGAAAACTTTCTTCTTGAATGGTAAAGGAGTTCCTTGTAATATTTAGGGAATATCTAACTGTCCACCATTACATTTTTTGTTCTCATGTCCAAGAAAAAAAAGTTATACTGACATTGGAGGCAATTCAGAGAAGGTTCACTGGATTGATTCCAAGTATGGAGGGATTCTGTTATGTAGAGATGTTGAACAGGTTGGGCTTGTAATCATTGGAGTTTAAAAAATTGCAAGGTGGGTACTGTAAGTGGATTGCAGATGTCCCATGAAGTTTCTTAGAGGTTATCACATATTGGATGCCAATGCCCATGGAGAATCCCCTGAGATGTCCAAGATAGGAGTCATTCAGAGCAAGTGACCAGCTGAAGTTACCAAGTCCCCACTCTGATCTCCACGTCAGTATTTCTTGATATTCAGTTGTTTGGTTAAAGATAGGAAGTTGAATATAATAAGCCATTCTGGACCATTAACAAGGCATTGAACAAGCAGCAAGGCCCCTTATTGGCAGAATTGGCAAATTGTCGCTGCTAAGCGAGAACCTCTACACAAGACAGTATCGGACTTCGGAAGTCATGTTGCGAGTGTACAGGACATTGGTTAGGCCACTTTGGAATACTGTGGGCAATTCTGGTCTCCCTGCTATAGGAAGGATGTTGTGAAAATTGAAATTGTTCAGAAAAGATTTACAAGGAAGTTGCCAGGGTTGGAGGATTTGAGTTATAGGGAGAGGCTGAATACGCTGGGGCTATTTTTCCTGGAGTGTCAGAGGATGAGGGGTGACCTTATAGAAGTTTATAAAATCATGAGGGGTATGGATAGGGTGAATAGACAAGGTCTTTTCCCCAGGGTGGGGGAATCCAAAACTAGAGGGCATAGGTTTAAGGGGAGAGGGGAGAGATTTAAAACGGAGGCAACTTTTTCATGCAGAGGGTAGTGCATGTATGGAATGAGCTACCAGAGGAAGTGATGGAGGCTGGTACAATTACAACATTTAAAAAGGCATCTGGATGGGTATATGAATTAGAAGGGTTTACAGGGATATGGGGCAAATGGGACTAAATTAATCTAGGATATCAGGTCGGCATGAATGGTTGTACAGAAGGGTCTATTTCCATGCTGTATAGCTCCATGACTCTAGATGCAGTGAGATACTGTCACGGAAGTAGGCCTCACCAGATTCTTATTCCAATTCTGCCACAGACCACTTTACTCAGCCCCCTTTAAAATGTTTTTCATTTTAATTACTCCAGACACAAAAACAAAAAATACATCTCCTTTTATCTGAATCACAAATCACATTTCAACACACAATCATGCACACAAAAAAAAAATCCATTTGTTTCTCAGACAGAAAGTCATCTCTGAAAGCAAAGCAAGCTGCTTTAAAACCACATACAAAAGAGACCACAAGGAGTTAAGAGACAGCAAGAACTGCAGATGCTGGAGTCAGAGATAACAAAGTGTGGAGCTGGAGGAACACAGCATGCCAGGCAGAGGAGCAGGAAAGCTGACATTTCGGGTTGGGACACTTCTTCAGAAACATCAACTTTCCTGCTTCTCTGATGCTGCCTGGCCTGCTGTGCCCCTTCAGCTCCACACTTTATCCACAAGGAGTTAAACCATTTTTGAGTGATGCAGACATTGGCTTGCAACCCATGCAGCTGTGGGGCTGCTTGTCTCTTTCTCTCCCACTCCACAGCAGAACAAGAAAGTTGTTAAAATATACTGTTACAGATTCAACAGCAGTCTTTCACAGTTAGTCACTGGTGCATATTCTGAACAAATTGATAATGTGTCACTTTTTGCACAATACTCAGGTCTTCACCCCTGGTACCTTGAGGCCTTCTTCCATTTCCTCCGACAGGGCTAAGTCCTTGAGTTTATGGCAACCAGTAACAGCTTATTCTTTTGTCTCATCTGAGCTGTGGAGTCCCACCCTACGATCAAACTGGAAACTGACAAGCCAGCTATTGCCTTGTGTCCATTACCTCATACCCAAGGTTAGCTTCAGCAGTTTCACCAAAGTGAATGGGACCACAAATTCCTTTCCAAACATGACCAAGCCTTTCTGTCCTGGGTACATAAGAACATAAGAAACAGGAGCAAGAGTAGGACATTCATCCCCAAACCATTCCGTAAGATCGTGACTGATCTGTCCCAGGTTACAACTCATTCATGCCAGCTCCTCATAGATTTTTGAAATATTGAGGAATTGAAGGCTCTCTCATCTCAGAAGACTTAGTGATAAGGTTCGGTGCAATAACTGTACCAGGCATGTTCCATTTACCAAGACTTTAGCTTTATAAAGCAGAATAACCTCAAAAATTAGAAATTGATTTAGTTTTCTATGCAATTTCTGAGATTACTTGTATGCTACAGCATTAAATCTATATTAGTAATTTAATGTTAATTATTGCTATCTTTTGGACACAAGTTCAAATAGCATTGCACTGATATTGGCCAAACTGATTTTCTTTTGGATCTTTAGCTTGAGAGTAGACTTTCACCCCATGATATGAATATGAGCTGGTCCTAAAAAAATGGGAACATGTTTAATATGCTAACCCGCTCAAACACCACCACTCAGATCTCTGATGCTGTTAGACATCGTTTATCTAATTGTAAACCTGCATCTTTACTGGCTTGTGATATTAGGTCTTTTATTAACATAGCTTTTAGGCATTGGCATTACATTGTAAATGATAAACTCAGTTCAATTAAGTGGATGGTTCAAAGGTGAACTGCTTGTGCTTGTTTGCTGAGCAGGAACGTTTCAATTTAAAAAATAACTGATTAACTAAATAATATTACTTCCAAAAATAAACATCCATTTGCTGACTTTAAGAAATCTCATTGTTATCGTGTGCAATACATGACTCAAAAGTTTACTGATAGGACAAAACATTAGTTTCATTGTTACAATTAATGGTTCATCACTTCACTGTTAATAGCTAGAACAAATAATAATTGGTAGATAATGGTAACAAATAGCCACAAATTCATTTTGAAATTGTTCACAAAGGCATATAAAATTTGCGACTTCTGAAGTCTATGTA